GAGCACGAATTTCAAAAAATTTTGATTTTTTGTGATTTTTTTTTTCGGAAGACAATTTTTATTTGTGGGCGAAAAAATGTAATTTTATCAAAAAAAAAAAAGAAAATTGGAAAAAACTTTTTAGGCCAAAAAAAATAATTTTTTCGAAAATTTTTGGTTTTTTTTTTGTGGGCGATTTTTTTTTTTGTGGGCGAAATTTTTTTTTTTTTGGAAAAAAAAATTTTTTTTGTTCGAAAAAAAATTTCGGGCGAAAAGTGTTTTTTGTTTTGAAAAAAAATTGGAAAAAACTTTTTAGGCCAAAAAAAAATAATTTTTTTGAAAATTTTTAGTTTTTTTTTGTGGGCGATTTTTTTTTTGTGGGCGAAAATTTAATTTTTTTGTCGGCAAAAAATTTTAAAAAAAAATTTTTTTTGTCGGGGATTTTTTTTTTGTGTTGGTCGATTGTTTTTTTTTAATGATGACTAATTTTTAAGGTCACACCTGGCCTTCATGTATTTTTTTTGTTGCACGTGGCCTTCAAGTTAACATGATCTAGCTCTTAAAAAAACATCGTATTTGGTTTTTTTTACCACCACACATTAGTGATCATCAAAAAATTGATTAGTAATCATTTAAATAAAATTTTAGACTGCAGAAAATTATCGGCGAAAGGTGTATCCAAAGCTGCTCAGAAGATGTTGAGTCATCAGCGATATCGAGACACCTTGACCTCTGGCTCGTTATTCAAAACTGAAAACAGTCGAATCGCATCCGAGTCACACAATCTGCAAACAGTGACTTCGACGAAAACATCGTTATCAGCTTTTGATGACAAACGCTACATCCTCGATGATGGTCAGCAGACTCTTCCCTACGGTCACAAAAACATCGTGGGTCAAACTGTGATTGGCATTGATGATAGTGATGACAACACAGCCGCTGTTAATTCTGACCCAACTGACGATGACGATTTGGAAAAATGGATGCCATTTTTTGAAGATCGTCAACAGCCAGTGTCGTGGGATTGTGACGATTTCCTAGATGGGGTGTCTGAAGAATTCGCTAACACTCAAAACGTTGATTGGGACCATCCGGAAATTGATGATTAATACTCTGAGGATAGTTTTGCTGTTGAGAACACACAACCACATCGCTCGCTTCGACAACTGATGGACCAGGTCAATAGCAGTTGGCAAACTCCAGACCCCGGTCTGATTCGGGCAGCAGAAACCAACGACAGTGATATTGATAGCGGGGATATCGCGGATCTGGAGGCCAATACTTCCGATGAGGACGAGTCGTCATTCTTCAACGATTCGTTTTTCGATTATGAAGCAGTTGAAGTAGAAGAACCACGGTCAAAAAATCGACGAATAGATTAAAACACAAAAAAACACCACATTAACTTTTGTATAGTAAATAAAATTCAGTTATTTAATATGAGAATTGTCTGTACATAAAATTTGACCTACCGCTATTCCGTGTTTAGTGTGTATTTAAGTGCGAGATTTTGTTCAGCTTTGGAACTCAATTAATCTGGGATATAAACAATTTCATTTAAGCGATAGTGCCTTTAGCATACTTTTGTATGTATTTGTATGTAATTTGAGTTTGAATCAAAGTTGTAAGAAGAATTGAGCAAACAGTCTATAGCGCAGTTAAACACTCCAGCTGGTTTCAGAACGAAGATTTGGCAAATCCTTTTCCGCACCAAACATGTAACCACAACGTTCAGTGGGAATACTCAATAATATACCGAAGTTTTACATGAGGACTATTAGGTATAAAATTATACATGGTGACAATTAGGATTATTACATGGTGACCATTGCTGATCATTTAATACATGGTGACCATTATGATTTATACCTAATGGTCATCCATGTATGACAACCCCCCCCCCCCCCCGATCCTAACGCACTATATGCATACTACTGATGGTAGTAGATTGATTTTTATAAAATCTTTTGTAAGAAACGTGAGGTGTGGGTATATTTCTTTGCATCCATTTTCGGAGCCCAGGCTGGAGGATCTGAAGTTAAGGGTGGCTTATTTTGCATTAAGTTTTTGGTTAGTTATTTTCCACCTTCAGCTTTGCTAACAAAGCGAAAATCAAACTCTTTTGTGCTAGTGTAACTGCTGGTTAAATTAACAGCGTTAATTGTATGTTTTTTTTTGAAAGAAACATCCATGTTTGAATAACTTGTAATTCTGTAAATTTGCTGTTTTGAAGTTGTTTGTTTCTGTTTCCCCAGAAGATTTTGCGAGGTGAGATTTTTGCAGCTGATTATTTTTTTTTTACAATTACTGGTTTCATTTATAATATTTAAATTCTATCCCTCAGTTGTTTTTGGGTTGAATAGTTTAGATATGGATTTGTCATCTTTTAGGTTGATTTTTGCCTCGTCGGTACGAATAAAGACTACTTTTATGGTACAATTTTTTTTTGGCAATTAATATATTTGAAGGAAAAAGTGATTATTTTTCACCGGGTTATTTTGCATGTACAAAAATCCCAGTTAATGCTTCAAGGCAGTTTGAAAATTAGTTTTCTGAATTTTTTAAACTGATTTAATAATTAGTGATTCAATTTTCGGCTGATATTTTTCTACTAATTGCGTGCCATGCTTTTGCTTTTTTTTGCTTTGCTGTCTTTCATAACTGGGGAACGGAAAAAACTTTTGAGTTGTTTCTGAAAATTGTCAAAAAAATAGAAAAGAAAGTAAGTGCAGAAAGCTTTATTTTTGATAGTATAAACACAAACAAATAATTCTGCCTTTTTCGATCAAAGTGTTTTGACAGCCTTTTAGTTGTCGCTTAAGCTGACTGAAAAGTCTTTGCATTTTGTTAATGGACCACAAACTCCAGGTCGGGGTTATGTTCTAAAAACTTTTGCAGTTGATCAGCTGCCTTTGTGCCAAACAAAGCTTCTTTGAACTTTTTGAGTGAATATGCTTCTCAATCATCGGCGCGTTCTTATAAACAATGAAGTGTTGACTGACTGGAGTTGAGCTTCGGGCAAACAAATTTCTGAATGGATACAATCACTCCATGAGAAATTCATATCGTAGTAGAGCTTTTTTTAACACACTGAGTGTTATTTCCATGTAGCATACCATAGTAGAGCTGTTTAAATTATATTGAATGTTATCTTTTATATGTATTGAGAGTCAGAATGCGCCATGGACAAATAGTTCATCTGAACACAGTGTTTTAACTTTGTCGAGCGCAACGTTTAGTAAGTTACTGTAGGCTAACGTTTAAGAAAATGGCAATGATATTCTAGATCTTTCAAAATTTCTCAGTCGGGGAACACTCTAGAATTCTTTTTTTTTGCAAAAGTCTATTCTTTAGACAAACTGGACTCAATTGAACTTCAACGCCAGAGAGTACATGTCCATTTTTGTCCAAGTTTCTTTGCAAGCACAGATTGATATCTGTCCAAAACGAAATAACTAGAAACAGAAACCTCCTTGCTTAAAAAGTTTATTTTTTTTTCGAATGGTTCATTCGATGAAATATTTTACAAAATAACTTTTTAAATAAATTGTCAGCTCTTGACTAGCTTGCTGAGAAAAACAGGCTTTTCGCGAGCCGATTCGCTATTTGAATTTTAATAAATCGAAGTTTCATTGCGTGATAAGCTTGCTTGGCACAAGTTTTTGTTCTTCACTGATTTGCTCTATGCAGTTATTTGAAATGTTTTTTATTTTTTTGCTTGAATGGCTTGCTAAGAAAAACTTAGTTTTTTTGCGAAGCGATTCGCGCATTACAATAACTAGAAAAAGTTGCAGTTTTATTTTTGAATCGTTTTCTCAGAAAAACCTACCTTTTGCACAATGATTCAGTAATTAAATTAACATGAAAAATTTGAAGGGCATCATCAGTTGAATGGCTTGAAGCATTAAAACACTTGACAATCTTATAATTTTTATAGCTAGATTGGCTTGCTCAAAAGTGTTGCGAACCGCTTCCAGCTGAAATACTTTGAAATTATTCTAAATTATATCGATTGAATGAATAGCTTACCGCAAAAAAAGTATGCAAGTTCATGAAAAAACTGGAATAACTTGAAATCTTTTAAGTTTTCTTTGCTTGAATAAGTTGCTAAGAACAACTTTGTTTTCGAGCCGATTGATTAATGCAGACATGCTTGCTAGTTTTTGAGAATTGCAAGGCCTCTATTATAAAGCAATTGAATGTGGATGGTTATTTTTGAGAATTAGAAATTGGATTTTTCACAAAAACGATGTTTTGAAAATTCTCTGCCGTAAATTTAAGGCAAATTTGTAGTTTCCTAGGAAAAAAAAGTATTTTCTTTTTTTTGAGCCTCCTGCTCATAATTGCCTATCACGTTCAGCCTGGATCATACCTGTCTTCTTGCAATTCATCCCTAGTTTCTGTTCCGACCATTTGAAAATTGTGGATGAACTTTGTAATCGGGTGTCTTTCAGTTTTTTCCTTTGTTTTCCACGCAAAATCAGGTACCACAAATAATCATCGAAATGGATAGAGTTGCATATCATATTAAAGCCATTTCAGTCGTGAGTTGAACTTCATTAGAGATTTTTGAAAAAAAATATTCTGTCGAGAAACACCGGTTTGAGATTTTTTGTTTTTTGGTATAATTTCGAGCGAATAAGGTTAGTTAGAATAAGGTTTGAAGTCTTACAATAACTGATTTAAGTTTAATTTAAGCCTTGAATAATTATTTTTATTGGAGCAAAGTTAGTTTTGAAGTTTTTAAGCTAAATTTGGCAATCATAAATTCAAAGATCTTCTGTAAAAAAAAATAGAAAAATATGGTAATTTTTTTCCCACAGAATCTAATTTTCAAGTGGCCTACTTGACTATGACTGTCGAATATACCTAGTTTCTTCTTTTTGGTTCAGATCTATTATCACACCACGCAGAAAAAAAGACACTAATTTGATTTTTTAAGACTATGGTTGGAACGTTCTGTGTTATTAGCTTATTAACCGGCTATCCTTGTTATAACTTAAATTGTTTTATACCCCTAGGACCATGCTTCTGCAAAATGGCTGCGTTCAAGACAACTAAATATACTATATGGTGCTCCGATTTTCGCTCTATCTTTTCTGTTTGGCTGGTTTCCCTTTTATAATTTACTATCTCTCGACAGCGAATACTGGAAGTGTGCACACCTGCTGATCACGCTGTGCTTCTGGGACACTATGTTTTCTTTTGTTCTTCTGGCGTACTGTTCGCTATTTACGGAAGTTACAACAGATCACACATCGCGAGTGCGGCTCACGCAGTACACTAGAGTGGCTGGAATTTGTGGCTGTTGGGCTGTCCCGTTGGTGGAATACGGCTATGAGGTTTATCATGATACAGGTATGATTTTTATAAAGTGTCAATGAACGCAATGAGATTTCATGCATTTAGGTCGCGTGGTTTTTGTTTTAATACAATAATCTCAGATTATGAAAAATTAAATGAAGCGAAAAACCTGAATGACTGAAAGTTTATTATAATCTCCCGGCTCTTACTTGGATGTAACTATTTTTAGTTATCTTTCAAATCTTTCTAAGTTTCATTTTTTCTTTTTTTAACTTTTTGGATGTTTTCAGTTTATTTCTGTTAATTCGCAGTTTGCTAATCCCAACTTTGCTAACCCTGACTCAATTTTGCGTCATTTGAGGGGGAAACATTTTTTTACACCCGCCTCAACTGAAATTCTCCGAGTTTCAAAATTTTTTTAACTCAACGTTTTCATGCCAAATTTTTATTTTCGACTGAAAGCTAACTGACTCAAAATCAACTTCAAAATTTTTGCACTTTTCATCAGTTTTGTTCAATTGTTTGTCTCAAATTATTTTTTTTTGTTTGATCTTAACTTTTTTTGAAATAGAAATTGGCTATTTTTTGGCATTTATTACGCTTTCGATGAGCAAGTGTTATCAAACCCGATTATAGACTTTTTTCGGGTTAACAACTAGTTATACAGAATCACTTGAATCATTTTACCTTTGGTTCATATGAAATCAAAAGTCAAACGTTAATTCGCGCATGTGGCGAAGTGTAATGCTCCTAATAAAGACAAAGGTCAGTGGTTCGAATCCGGCCAGGACCTGTTTTTTTTTTAAGCTGAAAAGTGTTTGCGTTTCAAAATTTTTTTGTCAGACTGCTGTTTGCCTGTTTTTTTTGTCGGCTTATTAGCCGAAGCCCCAAATCTACCCAAAATTTGGGCATTGCCAACTCAATTTTAAATAAATTTAGCGTATTTCAGTTTTGGGCAACCAATTGAGTTCCCAGAAATTTTGCCTTTTTTGCTTTTTTAAATTTATTTTATTGCTGCTCCTTAAAAATTTTAAAAGAAGTTTTCTCTATAATTTCAAGGATTGTTCCGTACATTTGATGGATTGGTAAACCATGCTTGAGATGACAAGTCCCGAAAGTTCGATTCCAATATCGAGATCTGTTTTTTTTTAAATGAAAATTTTCGAACATTTAAGCTATGTTCGTGTCTGCTACTTTTTGTCAGCTTAGGCCCTCTGAAAGCTTCATTTTTAAAGCATTTTGAAAGCTATTTGTAACGGTTCTTGTTTGAGAATATTTTTGTCCTTTTTTGCAATTTTTTTATTTAAAAAAATTTTTTTAAATGTTTTGTTTATAATTTTTGACTTGTCTTTTTTTGCTAGTAATCATAGTCATTCATTTTTGTATCGCAAGTGATGTGACGCTCCGCTTCGCTTCCGCGTGAAATGATCGATTTTTTCTTGTTTTCAATTGCCAGAATAATTGATTTGCCATTGCGAACTAGATTGGACCTCTTTAACTGCCCCCCACACTAGGGTACCTAACAACGAATTGCCACCCCAATAAAGAAGTAATTCAATGCATTTCGTACCTAGTAACGATTCTCCCGCTTTTGCAGAAGGGTAGGAAATAGTTAAAGAGATCTCTTAAGTTTTTCAGACGTAGTTCAGACTCTTATATAGGTCGTGATGATTTTTTAGGCTCAAATTTACTTTTTTTTGCTCAAATTTACTTTTTTTGCGGTTTGACTTTGATTTATTTCTTAGTTTAGTTCTTTTATTTCTTAAAAGGAAAGCAAAGTCGGCCATAGAATAGCAAAAGTATAAAAGTTACGAGAAACGCTATCGTCTTCTAATTTCGAAAATCCATTTCAATTATCAGATTCCCCTGTGAAATGAAAAATATACATATTGATCCAGTTTTCTCAAATTGGGTTAATATTATCAAAAAAGTGTGAATCGAAGTATTTACCAGAAATTCAAAGAGCTTCAGGGCTATTTATTGTTTGCTTTAAAATTCAAAAGTTGAGATTTTTTCAAAAGAAAAACAAGGCAGAATTTGTTTTCTGTTTACTTGCTTTCATTGAATCTTTTCCAACTATGTTTTCTTAAATTTATATAAATATGGTCCGATTTTATGTACCTTGATCTGATTCGGATTTTTTTTCAGTTTTCTGTCAGATTTAGAAATGGATCAATCGCTCATCTTCGGATCAATTGAATGAATTGTAAGGCAAGTTTAAAACGTCGAATAATACTGAACTTATTGTTTGTAAAATTTTCTTCGAATCTCAAATTACAGTTTTCTGAATCGTAAATGGTGCGAAGCCGAAATTTTGATACTGATATCTTTGCATTTTCTAATCAAAGAGCATTAAGCGCTATTTAGAAAATTTGGTCATCTGAGCTCTTCTCGTTTTAGATCATCACCTTTTTCGTATATTTAAAGTTAAACGTTATTTCTAGGTATTAGAGCTTGTCACATACCATTCCTCGACTTAAGGTAGCGCCTTTGGAACTGTCAAAAAAAATTTAAAATTTTCTAAAAGAAAGGGTAATGATTATTTCTCTGCCGATATTTTGCTTAAAAGTTATCTTAGAAATTAAAGTGTTTTTATATCTGGAGGAGAGGTTTCGAAAATGCAGCCGAAATAAGCGGCATTATGACCATTGGAGAAGAGAAAAATTTTAGAATTGTTTCAGGGTTCTACCTATGTCTATTCTTCATCGCGATTATGGCCACTGTTTTTATGTGCTTGACTGGTTTGTTCACGAGATCGATCGTCGACAGAAACGAAGAGAAGAACAAAACTTCATCGGATGAGCCGAACTTCTTTTCATGGCGCTTTGTGAAGATCAATTGTGAAATTATATTCAGTCGCAATTTCATGTCATTTGTCACCATGAACTTTCTCTCCGTTGGAATGTGTCACTTTGCATCCAACTTCACCAAGATTTTTACGGAAGATTTGAGTTTATTTCCGGACTCAAAATTGAGTAAACTTCTGTTTTTCCTCATTAATTCTGTAGGCGGTAGTTTGTTCATTCTTATCCTGTCACCTTTCATCAAGAGTTTCGGATCGCATATCATAGTATGTCTTTCATTTGTGCTGGTTCTTTTATCGAGTGTTACGCTGTACTTCTTCCGTGGCGCTGCAGTGATCATAACTCAAATTTTGGTGCTTAACATTGTACCCTCTGGCATGTTTGGAATCTACAATATTCTGGTCTCCAGTGTAATTGAAGAAGATCAAATCAATCATAAAAGAATTTTGCCTCTTTCCTCAATGGTGTTTGGCTTGAATGCACTCTTGACCAAACCTGCGCAGTCGATTTTCCCGATGGTGGCAGCTTACTTTCTGGACATGACAAAAATTGAAGTTCATTCTGAAGGCACGGAAATAACAGAAAGTAAGGGTTTTCAACTTGATATTTATACAAGTGAGCTAACGCGCGTATTATTATGGTACAAATTCAGTTTTTTAGAGTAATGAACGTAGTGAAGACTCTAATATGGGTCTTGCTGTTTTTTTTTTCGTTCTTTTTTCATGAAAAAGTCTTAAAATATTGATGCACTTAAGTATATATGCACTTTTCGAGTTCAATTGAAATTCATCTGCTGAAAGTGACTTAAATAGCGCTCTCCAAATGCGAACGTGGAAATGGCGCAAAAAAAAACGTGAACGATTTCTAGTTTTGAAAGAGGAATTTAATTTTTAGATTGCCAGCGGAATAAAAACTTACCTATTGATCCAGTTTTCTCTAGTTGGGTTCATGTTATCAATAAAGTGCCAATCATATATCGTTCTAGAAATTCAAAGAGCTTAAAGGGCATCTTTTTTTCTCCGAAACTCGAAAGTTGCGGATTTTTTTTTAACAGAGTCAATGTTTCTTTATGTTTACTTTCGTTCATTACTCGTTTCCAATCTTCGATTATGTTTTAACCTGACCCGCAAATAAAGTACTCATTTGGTGGCACTTTTACTGCATAGCATTGGCAACTTAATAGCATTTGTTCTATCTGCTTTATTGTTGGTTGGAAATTGCGTTATTTCAGGCGAAAAAAGCACAGACGGTTCAGTTCCCATACAAAGGAAAATTTTAGTTTTTCAAAGGCTTATTGTTCCGACCATTTGAAAAATAGGGAGGAACTTTGCATTCGGGTGTCTTTTAGTTTTTTGTTTTTGTTTCTTTTTTTCACGCAAAATCATGCACCACGAATATTCATCAGAATGGGTCGAGTGATATACCAAATTCAAGCCCTTTCAGTCGTGATTCAAACTACCTTAAAAATTTTCAACCAAAAGTTTTCTCAGTGTCGAGAAAAACTGGCATAAAGTTTTTGATTTTTATTTCAATTTCGAGCGAATTAAGCGAGCGAGCAGGCTACAAGAGCTTATAAAACAAGCAAAGCTTGTAGTGATAGTATGAACTCTCTTTGTTTTTTTCCAAACTAAGTCGCAAATATTAGTGTTTATTTTGAAAGTGTTCATTTATTGCAGTGTGTGCGTAAGATCAATAACCAGCTATTAATTAAAGCCAATGCTAAGGATAATATTACAGACTATTATGTTATAAATAGCACTCTAGATTCACGGTATCATAGATCTGTAGCGTAGAGGTAGGGAAGGAGACCCGCAACGAAATAAGAGGGTTCGAACCTGGGTGGGATGTTTTAATGAACTTTTTCCTATACTAGCTAAAATGCGTCCGCTCTATAAATTGAGGCATGTTAGTTGGTAAATTTCTTTGTTTATATTGACTGGTACTCCTAATGCGTCATAATTGGCTCGTGTCACTTAGCAATTTAGACTCATAACTGGCGTGCGCACCTTAAGAAATTATGTAGACTCAAGTTTCACCCATTCAGTTTTACCAGTAGCGTTATGGGTCATATTTTTGCTTGTGTATGTGAAGTGCAACTTCGCCTCTGTGTTTATGCTTAATTTAAGCACTGAAAACGTAGATTTAAGCAAAGCAAGTAAAATTAGTCTTCGGAGTTTTTAGCGCCATTTTGAGAACCAAAAACTTGCTAGAAAAGTTTACAAAAATTTCGTCTCTGCATGAAAAATTTATAAACAAAATTGAAATTATTTTTTTTTTTTGATTTTTTGTTTTTCTAGTCATTTTTCTAGTACATTTTACGTCCAATTTGTCTGTACTACTATGATTGTTGAATATGCCTACCTTATAGTTTTACGTCAGGTCTTTTTTATCACACCATACAGAAAAAAATACCCTAATTTGAAAAAAAATTTCTAGTTATTTAAAGACTGGTCAGAACATTCTCTGCTACTTGCACAGTAAACGGACAGGACATCCTTGTTTTTACCTGTTTTTTCTTTATTTCACTTTTGATCTCTTTGGGGCTACCTTTTGCCGTTTTCTCGCTTATGTTAGCGAATTTTGCCTCTCTTTCAGTACTTAATAGGAAGTCTTTTCAAGCAAATTTAGAATTTTTCATTTCAAGTTAACCAGCCAGAGGCCTAACCCGAAGTTTAATTATTTAAAATTAAAATGGTTATCTTTCGTGTTGAAAATTTCAGCTTTCAAATTCTTTGATTGAATAATTTCATCAATCTAATTTGTCTTCAAGTTCTAAAATTAGCAAAATAGTTTAGCTATCCAGAATGACAGAAAGCCAAATAAGCCAATCAAAATTCAATATTATTACCTGAGAAAGCAAATGTACTTGCAACCGCGATCTATTTTTTCCGTAAACAAATTTTCTTGCAAATCTGTAAGAAATTGGCCTTGTTTTCAACCTCGTCATCTTTTAGGTTTCTTCTCACTTGATCTAGAGGTAAAGAACGCGCCTTCGGAACACAAGGTCGAGGGTCCGAGCTTCGTCCGGACCTTGTTTTTCTTCGATATATGTAGAAATTGAATTTTTTGATGATTCTTATCGATTTTTTTTTCAAACTTTTCAAAAAGTGGAATGTTTTTCAATGCATCCATTTTTCAACCTAATTTTATCTAGAATGAAAAGCGCTCTGTAATTTGCAAGTTTACCAATTCTGTGATTTGTTAAAAAAATTTGTTTGGTTTTTCGCTTAAATAAGTGCGGGTGAAGAGTCCTCTTTCTAATCATGAACTCATTATAGACCACCCGTTCATGAAATCTTTATAAATTTATTATATACTTATATTGATCTCATTTTAACCACATTTTCCCTCTACCCTCGGTTATATTCGCGGCAACCTAATTGTTACTAATTTGAAGTTAGCGGTCTTTATTATGAGTTAATGTGATTGAACTACCAGGACAATGTTGGTAATTTAAACTCTTTCTTGTATTCTTGCCATATTGAGAAAAACTCCAAAGAGGGATCACTTTCTATTCTCGCGTTGAAACTTGCCTTAGTCGAACCAGGAAGGATTTCTAGACCTTACTACTAATTTGTAGAGCAAAATGCTACCCCTTTTTGGTTCTCAAATTTTTCCCCTCATCGTGGATATTCATGACATGAATGATCCTTTGAATGAATCGCTTAAAGAGGTGGTAAAATCGAAACTTGATAGATTGATTTACCAGATTTTATTCACAATAGTTTAATTGGCTTCCAAAAAACCAAAAAGCAACAGATTTGGAGACAAAAAAAGTTCATGCGTCAACCGTCTTGACCAACTTGAATCGGTCTCTAACTAAGCTTAGTGTCATTGTGTGGTCAAAACTAGACAAAGCTATACAAAAACTGCCAAAAAATGCTCTTTGACTTGTTTTGCTTTTAGAAACTTGCAGGCTGTGATTTCATATGCGTCGTTTGAAGTGAAATAGCAGATTGTTACGCTTTTGGGTGTTTTAGAGGGGATGGCCCTTAAATAATTCCAATTGCAAATTTTTTTTTGCTCAAAATGTTTTGTTTATGGCTCAATTATTATGGCTCAACCTTGCATTTGTAGATGTTTAGAATCGTACGCTGCGATAGTTTAATGTATCAATTGAGTGATTTTTAGCCTAATGTGAACGAATCAGGACAATCACATTTTGAAGAAAGTTAAGTTTTAACGTCATCATCGATGCTTACCGAAAAACTGACATTCAAGTCTTAATTTATGTGTAGCAACATCCTCGACCCTCACAGGAACCTAAGTAGCACTAATAAGGAGCTGCAAGAATTCGGTTCACTAGGAGTAAACAACTTCCCGAGATCTTGGAAAATCCACCTGTTGCCCATGTATTAAGATAGGCTGTTAAAAATCTAGCTAGCCCCGACAACACGGTGGTCGAATCTCAAAAACGTTGATGTCATCATCTTCCAGAGCCCTAATAATGAGCCTGTAAGAAGTCGGTGCTCTAGGAGGTTACAACTTCCCGAGATCGCGGAAAAATTTACCTGCTGCCCATGTATTACGATAGGTTATAAAAAATCTAGGGACGCAGCGAGATGTGATCAAAAATTTCAAAGCTGATCATCCTTATGGCTCGTTTAAGAAGCATATGCAACCTTAGTAGACCAGGAGATAAAAACTTCCAGATATACAGCGCTGACAAAAGCCCTTAGTAAATAGTCCCGTCCTGGACTTCCGAAAGTCGTTTCTGGGCCACTACTGAACTTAGGGAGCCAAAATTTTAGAATATGATAGATAGTGGCAAGATGCGTCGTATGTCAAAACGTGAACGGTTGGACCAGAATTCATTAGCACAATTTATTAACCTCCAGGTGCACCGACAAATGTAGTCCTGAAATTAAACATCATTAGTGACAAATCTTTGAAATTTTTGTTGATGTAGTTTTCTAGGTTTTTTTCTAATTAGTTTTTCTTATGGTTTTTGTCTCAATTGTTGTCGGCTAGCTTACAATGGTATGTTTGTAATGTATGGCAAGAATTGAAGAGTTGCGAAGCTTCGTTTAGCCTCTGTGTAAAATATTTGAAAGAAGTTTCGATATTTCATTCGAAGGATTCAACGATTTGAACTACGCGTTGGTTGGTTAACGATTTTCTGGCATTCGGACGTATTGTGATATGTATAGCCATAGATGTCCTGTTAAAAAAGTTACCCGGTTTCTAGAATGATAGAACCGATTATAATAGCGCTGCTATATATATTCTGCAAAGTGCATGCTTTCGAAATTTTATATACCTTAAGTCTCGCAAGAAAAAACACTATTAATCGGTTGCGAAAGTATTTTGAGTGAGCGGTGAGGAAAGCACGGTACGATTTTAACTCGATTAATTGAATTAGTTATTTGTTAAATTAGTTTAACAAACCATTTTATCATTCGCTAATAAACTAATTGTTAAACAAATGGTTATATTGGACATCACTGAGAGTAGTCCCCAATGTATTCAAACTGTTTTCTATTTTCAGCAGTGGAAACCCACGGACGATATCAGGATGCCATAGTGACTCTACTGTGTGTGTTGCCCATTGTAACTGCAGTACTGCAGCTACTTGTGTTTGCCCCCTTCAGAATGAGACACTACTCGATTAAGATCGGAAAAGAGAACGGCTCAAAGAGTTCTGTTCGAGGCGAGAGCAGTTTATGAAACTCTCTACAATTTAGCTACTAAGCAGGAATTAATTGTGCCATTTTGTTTTTCAATTGTTTGTATCGAATGTATATCCATATTTTACTCAGCTTACGGTGCTTAGATTTTGTAAAAATCAAATGTTAGTAGGATTACTTCATAATTAGATATGCATTTGAATTTTGTTTGTAAGTGGAAATCGGACAAAACTAAGATCGTGTAGTTGTATTTATCAAATATATTTTTATCAGTTTTATTTTTCAATGAAAGTCTGAGCTTAAACAAGAATAGCCGGTTGCTGTGCAACTAGCTCGTAATGCTCGATTTGTCCAGTTTTTGTCGTTTTTTTTGGGCATGTGAGGAGAAACTTTTAGCAAGCCTAGAAAAAACTCCCTACGGCCTCATCAGGGAATGATATTAAACTTTTATAAAACTAATGACTCTTCGCTCTACTTCCGTCTAAAAAGTGGTACCCTACCCGATTTTGCATGGAAGAAATGCAAAAAAAAAGAAAGACGTCGAACTGAAAGTTCCTTCCGATGTTCTTTTGTGCTTTTTTTGTGATGTTCAGTCGTGCAGTGGTCCAGTGTTACAGGAGAGTACTGTTTGAAGCAGAGCTCATGTGACCAAGTCAAATATTTTTGCGTTCCTGATCTTAGTTCAGTCTCTAGGCTGTGTCTATTTCAGGACCTAATGCCGCACACATTGGATTGGCAATAAAATCTCAGAAGAGTTAAATGCATTCATTTCTCTATTTAATTATTATACAAGAGACAGTATGGCCCCAGTCGTTAATTCATCCGAGTGATAAACATAAAGTTGTGGAAATGAATATAGAGCTTTTTAGTTTTGGAAGTCAATTGTATCTGCCAAAGGAGTAAAAAATTGAGACTAAATAGTTTTCAGTTTTTATTTCCCCAGTTTGCTTATTTTCTGGTGATCCTCATCTGGCTTATGTGACCTTTTCTTTGTTCATTAAGAGTCAATGAACGTAGTGATTACTTATATGGGTCGTGATGATTTTTCTTCAGGAAAAGTCTCAAAATTTGTTCACGCTCAAAAATGATTTTTTTTGCGGTTAAAATTTTGATTTCTAAATAAAATCAGTTCATTTCCTTTCTTGAAAAGGAAGCAAACCAATTTATCGAACAGAAAAAATGTAAAGTTTGCTCGAAACGTGATTGGGTTCTAGTTCCGAAAGTGGATTTTAATATGAAGATTTCCAAGCGTAATATAAAAAAATTACCTATTTATCATGTTTCTCAATTTTTCAATCATACATTGGTTTTAAAATTGAAAAAGCTTTAAAGGCGTATATTTTTTTTGTAAAATTGGAACGTTGATTTTTTTTTTCAAAAAAGTAATCATTTTTTATGTTACCTTGCGTTCCTTGATTTTTTTCCAATTGTGTTTTTGCTATGTTGTAATTCTTTTGCCTTTTCTCGCTTGTGTTCGCGCTCCTGTGTGAAAAACTTCATAGTTCTGTTTGGGCGTACTTAAAAAAACTTTTGGAATGGCATGATGCCAGAACAAAAACAGTTCTTTTCCAAAATGGACTTTCAAAATTGATTGAGATCGGCTTCTAATAGTTTTGCCAGGTGAAATCCTTTAAAATATTTCTGCAGAAAGAACATATACCTGGTGTATCTGCTTATAATGTTTCCAGCTGGCATTTTCAGCCCCGATTTTCTTGTTATCTAACTATTTTCTTGCGCTAATTAATCTATAAAGAACCTTAGTTACTTATTTTATGGATTTTATGCCCCCAAACCATTCGGTGTTGTAACATATCTCAGCTATTTTAAATGTTATTCTGAGTTCGTGTTTTTTCTTACAAATGGCACCAAGCAGAGCTTCGCACTACTTGCAAAACGAAAATTAAATATTTCGTCACCTGTGCGTTTATGTAAGTTCCATAACATTAGTCTGAGTTAGTCATTTGTAATTTCGATGCTTTGAAATAATATGGGTCGCAAGGTTTTGATATATTGCGGTGGGAGCTCGTTTTTTATTTCCACATAAATAAACTGTACTTTTGTAGCGATCTTCTCCGATGTACTCAAAATAATTGTCACAAACTTCCTTATTAGTCATGTTTTGAATTGTAAGAAAACCAGGCTTGAACTAGTAACAAGACTGCTCGTATGTCAGGTCAAAGCCCTGAATTCTCCGACTGTCCTCTTGTTCATATCGAATAGTTTTTGGGAAAAGAAAATATTGAAAACCTATGAATTTTGGACAATATCAAAGTCTGAAATGATGAGCCGAATGAAGTTAATACGACCTATCTGATTAGCTTGCCGCAATTCATTTTGGAAAAATATTTTTTGTGCGGGAAAAATCGCCACGCATAAATAATTCGCGTAACGCTCGCAGCAATATGAATAAATTCTTCAAAGCGCGCATAATTTAGTCCAGGACATAGCCAATTTAGCAATTTTCAAACCCGCGGAACTTCACAAAAACCAATCGGAGATTAAAAAAAATCTTTTTAAGTTTGAAATCAGGAGGTCGATATCTTCAATGGGGTTTGAAAATGTTATCGAAAACTATAATTTCGATCGGTGAAAATTGACTGTATAAAAAACACACCGAGCAAAAATTTTCGGTTTTCTTCGACAGTCGGAACAATAAGCCTTTGTTTTATCACGCATCATCATATCAGGCCACTCGTCGATTCAAAAGCCACTTACACTAGCTGTCAATCAAGTTAACATCTTGTTAATTGACCTTGTCCCTGGATTGGATGCTGAGTTTATAAAATAAACGAGCAGCGGCATACAATTTATCGTTACCAGCAATAGATATATCTGACGGGTGCCGGACATCAAGCCGAATCGTAAAATTAGGGACTTCAAGCCGAAAATGTTCTCATTAAGTCATGAAATAAGATTAATTTGAAAATTATTCTGAAGATATTTTCATTTTCATGATCTTTCTTCACTAATTATTGGCGTTTTCATAAAATTTATGCCTCCAAATGATGTTTCGAAAAGTTGAAAAGTAAAACATGGTTGAAGGCATTTTTCAAGTTTATAATTTATGCATTTCAAAAACCGGTTGATATTATTAACGGATGCCAATCCTAGGTAATTCAATGTCATAAATAACGCTTATTATGGACTAAACTAGCGTAAGATTTTGAAAAGCAACGTTTTACAGATGAAAAAAAACTGAATTGAGGTGCTTGTAAAGTTTAATTTTCGGCCTGAAGTCCCTTCGGCTTGAAGTCACGTCGGCTTGCTGTCCTAGACCCATATCTTACAATTATCTTTTGAGCACCCCTGTTTATCAGACTTACACTATTTTACCGCTAAGGGGTGCCGGACATCAAGCCGACGGGACTTCAAGCCGAATCGTAAAATCTGGGACTTCAAACCGAAAATTTTCTCATTAAGTAATTAAATATGATTAATTTAAAAACTTTTTTGAAGAATTTCTCAGTTTAATGATCTCTTTTCAGTAATTAATGGCTTTTTCATAATATTAAACCTCCAAATGATGTTGAGGAATTTTTAAACATAAAAAATGTTTGAAGGCAATTTTATAATTTATGCATTTCAAAAACCGTCTAATATTAGTAACGGATGCCAATCCTAAGCGATTCATTGTCATGTATAACGCTTATTATTGTTTGAACTTGCCTGAATTTTGGAGAAGCAACGTTTTACAGTTGAAAAAATAGTGATTTGAGCGCTTGTAAAGTTTAAAATTCGGCCTGAAGTACCTTCGGCAGTCCGGTCGGCTTGTTGACCTAGACCCACCGCCAAGTAGTGATTAATGGATGACAATTCAAGCAAGATGGCTCGTATCAGGGCGGGCGAAGCCCTGAATGTTCCGACTGTCTTTTATGATTTATTGAGCAGTAATAACATTAATTAAATGTATTAAATTAAAAAGAAAAAATGAGATTTTTTTTTGAAGATCATCAACCCACAAGCCATATAAAGTACAACAGGATAGTTTTCGCTCCTGGTAACAAATCAATTATGGCAAATAAATTTATTTCAATCAAGTTTGAACGATTTCTAAGTTGGATTAAATCTCCGCTTACGCGTTAATAGCGCGAAATTTATCGCGCGTTATTTGTCCCGAATTGGCCTAAATGGCAATCTTTAAACCCCCAGAACTTTACGAAAAATGATCACAGGTAAAATATTTTTTTTCTTCTTTAAGCTCAGGACAAATATACGTTTTGAATGATAAAAAAAAATTCCGTCAAAAAGGCTAGTTGAAAAGTCGAAATTTGTCTGAAGAAAAAAAGCCCACCCCGAGCACAAATATTCCGTTACTTTCCTTAGGAGAATCGAAACAATAAACAATTTTACTTATGCGGAATGCCTAACATCTTACTTGCACGGTCACACTAAATATAATTGTTCGATGGTTTCGCCTCAGCTTTTTTGTGGTTATGCTTGCGTTTAGCAAGGCTAATCAAACCGGATCATAATTTTTAAGCCGGAACTTAAATTTAAAACTTTTTCCGCACGCTAGTCGGTTAACGATATCTCTCAAGCGTTTGATATCTCAATTTTATTTAAATCAGTCGCAATGCCTGATTGTGCACATTTGGCTAAGAGGTAATGTTTACGCTTTAGTCGCCAGAGAAGAGGTCAGATTTGTATTTTTTGAGTACTGAAATTTACTGGTCGGACTATTGTTTGTCTACTCAATTTTGTCAGACTATGTGCCCGAATAGGGACTTTTCCATGGTTTTCCATTTTACTATATCTGAAAGTCGTTTTGATATTTTCTGCTACTGGCGTAGGTAATTGAAAAACAAGAGTCTTACCCGCATCGAGTGCCCATAGATTCTAATCGATTATAATGTATTCCCAAGACAAAAATAATTCATTAAAGATGTAAAATTCAGACCACGAAATCGATTATATTGCCATTATAATCAATTATTTTTGAAACAAAATAGTCCATTATAATCGATTATTTTTGAAACAAAATAGTCCGTTATAATCGATTATAATCCACTATTTTTGGCACTGAAATTGATTGTTTTTGCTAAGATAATCCACTATAATCGATTTGTTTTGAAATCAAAATCCATTATCACCAATTATAAACGATTATAATCCGTCTTTTTTTCAGAACTGAATTCGATTATTTTTGCAGAAATTTTGCAGAAAGTTTGCAAAAATTATGCCATGTCTTTTACTAAATGCTATGTCTCAACATCAACCCCTCAAGTTTTTTTAACCTCCCCCCAACTAAAGAGTTGGGCTGGTAAGATGGGGGTGTCACTCATTAGCCCCCTCCCCCAAAGTCTACCTATAAATAACCCCCCCATGTTCAACCATAAGCGGGAGAGGGCTAATGGCGGTTGCGGTAAACAGGCTGGGAGAGGGGGGAAACTGGCAGGGAGAGGGGTTAAAGTAAACTGGGGGGAGGGGGGGGGGGGTTAAAGCAAACTGGAGGGCTCAATCAGAATATATAAGACAAAAAATATATAATTTTCAATGTGAAATGTAATATTTTATGAAACGTAGTACGTAGCAACTGCGCTAAACAGGAAATGAGATAAATTTGAAGAAAGTTGTAAATTTCGTGAAAAAACTTCTAGAAAAAATCCATTATAATCAATTATAATCGACTATAATGAATTATACTGGCATAAAAATATCAGGGTTATAATCGATTATAATGGATTATATTGACATAAAAAATATTAGGATTATAATCCATGATAAATGGATTATAATCAATTATTTTGTAATTTTGTAGATACTGGCCATATTATGACATTATAATCGATTATGATCCATGGGCGCTCGGTGCGGGTAGCTAAATTTTTTTTCGAGCATTGGTTATCGAAAGGTTTTTTATTGCCCATTTTCCTCTAGATCAGACAAGCAATGAAAAGAGCCTTTATGTGAAGTATCTGAAATTTTGATTGAAACTGATAAATCGAACAAGGCAATTCAGTTTTCTAACGCAAATAGTGCAATTTTTCGTTTCGCCTGTGTGCAAAATTTTTAAAAAAAAAATGCGTTCTTAAGCTCAATAGTTAGAAGATCAATTAGATAGTCTCAGTTATATTGGAATGATTTCAGAGCCGGTATTATCGGGCTCTTAAGTTAAAAGCAAGTTTCGTCGCAGATGAATCATTTTTCAATTTTGAGATTAAGGCATCAATATCTGTCAGAATGCATAAAAAACTTTGATATTTTTGATTGTAGAACCAAGATGAACGGTTTGTTCGCTTAGCTATTACATCATTGTTGAAATGTTTTAATTGTCCCATCTAGTTACTTTGATGATTTGGTCTGCATATTGTTACGTTTTCTTTCGGACACGTAACGAAATATGGCGTAGGATGGGTTTCCTCCCGTCGATTTGACCTAGCTGAAAAACAGCTCGCGAAGAGATCAATGTGGTATCATACTGAAGCTTGAGGGTGATTCCGATTCCAAAATCACTGTGAAAAAGTAATAATATCGAGAAAAAAAACATGTCTGAAATTTTTGCTATGAAGGACAGTGCTGATTTAAATTATCCGGACAAAACGAACAAAACTTGAATTTTCAAACGCGTTTTTCTCAAATTGGGTTAAGATTAGACAAAAAGTGAAGAGAACAAAAGTTGCTTAGAATTTCACCAGAATTAATATGGTGCCATTTTTTCTCCAAAATTCTCAACCAAAATTTTACCCCAAAAATGGGTCATTTTGGCTTTTTTCAATTAATCAAGAATTACGCGGAAACAACTTTGTTAATTGATAAAACAAATTATATCACAGGAAGCTTCTTACGCAGTTCAACAAAGTTCAAGAAGGGTTAAATCTCCAAAAACCAGTATAAGAGAAAAAATTTTCTTTTGATAGTCAAGAAATGTGATTTTCACTATATAAAACCTAAAATCTCTGTTTAAAAATATACTTTAAACAATTTGCGCAAATTTTTGGAGATTTAACCCTTCTTGAACTTTGTTGAGCTGCGTAAGAAGCTTCCTGTGATATAAATTTTTTTATCAATTAACAAAGTAGTTTCCGCGTAATTCTTGATTAATTGAAAAAAGCCAAAATGACCCATTTTTTGGGGTAAAATTTTGGTTGAGAATTTTGGAGAAAAAATGGCACCATATTAATTCTGGTGAAAGTCTAAGCAACTTTTGTTCTCTTCACTTTTTGTCTAATCTTAACCCAATTTGAGAAAAACGCGTTTGAAAATTCAAGTTTTGTTCGTTTTGTCCGGATAATTTAAATCAGCACTGTATTTCTGTAGAGTTTTGGGTACTCGTTTAGAAGTATTCTCCCGTTAGAAATCTCGTTAAGAAGTATGGTCTCGTAAAACTATCAATGGTCCCATACTAAATTGAGACATATAGAAGATTTTAAATGTCGCTTCTAAGTTTTGCCAGGAAACTGATATTTTTGATAATTTCATTTCAAATGCAAAGTTAGCAGCTAATCAAACGAAGAGTTGTTTTAAAAGTGTTCCTTTTGTATTCATCCACTTGAAGTACCTCAAGTATTTTTCAAGTGGGCTGGCGGGACCACACTTCTGAACGAGCTTTTGAATGGGACTCATCAAAAACGGTGGGACCATACGTCTGAACGAGCGCCAATTTTTGATTTAATCAATTAACCGTTTTTCATTTATAGCTTAAAGTTTTTTTCGATTGTTCTTTTGCAACAAAAATTAGTTCTTGCACGGCAACTGGCTACTCTAGTTAAAAATTGAATTTTGCGGTTTGTTCCGGGATCTCGAAGGCCAGCATCAAAACCTTCACTCGTGGCCTTGAACGGGTGTCCTATTAATCCTGCTGATATCTTTGTAGAGATATTTATTGAATAAGTGAAATAAATGGATATTTAACTGGCCTTGTAATAATAATTGTGCCTATTATTCTGCGAATAAAAATTTCGTAAAAAAGATTAAGAATTTTGTCCAGTAGTTTAATAGTAATTCGGTCTCGCATCGCTGACGTATACAAGTCCTCCGTTTTCAGTTTCGACGAAGCTGTTCTTCAGAGCGCGTTCGATCATCTCTAGGTCTCTGTCAGCGGACCCGTATCTGTACCAGCCGGGCTCCCCCATCTCCTCGGGGTGGTCTCGGTTATACCTCTTCACAACTTTCCTCAAGAACTTCTCCCCCCTGTCTTGTGTGTCCTGACTCAGTATCTCAGATGGGTAGTTGAGTCCTGAAACATTTTTTAAATCAGAAAATGTAAACGAAAAGAAGGAAGAGAGACTTTGTCGGAAGTTGGTTCGCAGATTTGAAATAAGAACCCAGTCATAAAAGAGATGCATAAACAAGTCAATCATCATAAGTAGAACTCTAGTACAATAATTGGGAAAACAATTGTCCAGTATTGTAAGTAGCTACGCTACAACTACTTTTTGGCTTCGGAAATTCGAATCGAATTCCAAAAAAGTTATCTTGGACCAAACTCATCTTGGACCGAAAAAAAAATTAAATGGAAATCATACACATTGCTTTAAGAATCATCTGTGACAGAAACAGTGAATTCGGATCGGGCTATTGAACTCATCTGACCTCAGTCTAAATCTAAAGGCAATTTCGTAACGCTAACGCACCTCTGGTCCAGTCATATTCTTCGCTTTCTCTGAGTCGTCTTCCAATGTATACATCCTCATCTTGTGACGTCACCACATCAGTGGGCGACTGATTACTCTCTTCGTACAGTCTCGCAAACTCCTCGTCATAGTATTCATCGTCTCCAAAATCCACCTGCAATTTAAATTTTGAAATTAAACAATATATAAAAGGGCTGAAAATAACAAAGTTTAGATTTCACAACAGGTTCATTTGACAAGTAGTTTTTTAAGTCAGGCGGTATTTCTTTTATTGTATTTATGGAATTGATTTCTTTTATGGTATTTTTACTTTACTGGTTGATTTTGATGGATTAAATCAAAAGCCAAAGGACTGTCTTACCTTGACCAACGTCTTGTTCCATTGGGACACTAAGTTGAGGCTCCGGTTCGGTACCAACGAAGAGACCCCTTTCGGTTTCAGGATACCCTTTGGAACCCTGGATCCAGAATCCGGTAATCTCCTGGGAATTGTAAAACCATTAGTTCTCGCACCAGACTCAGGCCGAGAACTGAATATTGGTTTGGCAGACACTTTAGCTGGTTCGTAGGATGTGGATTTGGCTGTGAACAGAGAACGTGCGAACTTGTTCTGATCGCTCTTTAGTTTGATCAGCTCGCGTTGAATCTGTTCAAGCTGGGATGATTTCATAAGGTAAGCAGATCTGAAGCATAAGGTTTAACCACAGTTACCACAAGAAAAGCGCAGGTTCTTGGGCCTTTCAAAATCAAATAAAACATTCTTAAATGTTAAATCCTAATTCGTATCCTTTTTTTCTACTTTTCTTTCTTGATTTTGATTGAAATTCATTGAGACCAATAGTTCCAAATAGCTGCGTGGTAATGGTTTCTTGTGAATATCAGTAATGGTTTCTCGTGAACTTCAGTAATGGTTTCTCGTGAATGTTTTAACTTACTTGTAGTGGTCGGTTGGTTTGCGACTAGGCTCCCGCTTGAACTGCTCCCTCAAATTCGGCTCATAATTTTCCTTACTCCGCTTAGACTCAAAAGTTCCAAAGTCCATTTTTGGCTCCACTGGTTTGCTTGACTCCGAAGTGCTGTAATCTTGCAAGCCCGGAGAAGTGTAAGGGCTGGTCATATAAACACCTCTAGGAGCAAACTTTAGCATCGGTTCTTGATTTACCGAGCTCTCAATCACCGAAACTTTAGACTTCACGTCCTGGAGTTCTCTGACAAGAGTCGATAGCAAAACTGGAACATTGTTCAAATCTTCATCTCGGATTAAATCTTTGACATCTACTTGATTTTCGGAACTCGTTGAACTCTCTGTGTTGTCCTCCCCGTTTTCGTCTGATTTGGCCTCAGAGGTTTTGTTTTCATCTACCGCTGAAGGTATATCAAGTTGAACTGGGCTATCGTTCTCTTCTGTTTCTTCGAATGAAACATGCTTAACATCGTTTTCGATTGTTGGAGCGCTTTCTCGAGGTGATATAAGCGAGTTCTCAGGGGACCTTATGCTATCCAGTTGCTGCTTCAAATCAGCGATTTCTCGGTTTTTCTCGCCTTTGAGAGTCGCAAATTCGGATAGAAGAGCTTCCATTGTTTCGTAGTCCAATTGGAAAACAGGGAGAATCTCGTCTACTTTCTGTTTCACTTCATCTGGAGAAAGTTTTTCGAATTTTTTGCCCACTTCCAAAGTTTTTTCAGATTTGATCTGTTTCACTTTCGTCACTTCAGCCAAGCATTGGTCAAACAAAGATGTTTCTGATTCAATAATAATATTTATGGCTTCTTGCTCTCCTTTTTTCGGTTTCTTCTTTTTGGCTTCATTTAGTTGTTTCCGGAGCTTCGAAATAGCCTCCTCCTTCTCCTGGCATTGCTTTTTCCAGTATTTCTCCGAGTTTTGAAACATCTGGTGACTAGCAAACGCAAAACTTTCAGCTGCTTGGTCCAGTTTAATAATGACAAAAAGTGTTTTCTGTTTTTAAAGTTTACACTTGAGAGCTCGCGGCGAAACGAAACCTCTTTTTATGGTATGTTCAAGCTATCGATTTCTAGTCGTCAGAAAATAAAGCACATGTTTTGTATTAGTACTAGATGCGTTTCATCTGTAAGTTGGCTTCAAATTGCATTTGAAAAGTGAACAATCTCTGTTTTACGCTCTTTAGTTTTCACCAATTAATGAAAAATACATTGTTATTACACGCTCTTCTTTTGGATGCGTGACTTTAATATTTGATCACAAGTAGACCAAAACTTGCCTGTAAATATGTACAATTTTCATATTTTTGTTTTATATGCAAAGCAAAACCATGCAAATAATATAACTAAACTCCAATATTCTTAATGTTCATAATAAAATGTCAGTTGGCCCCGCAGGTCTCGTGGGCGCGTACTAGTTCAGCAAACACCGTCAAAAATTGACTTTTAATGGATCAGAATTACAAAGAATTTTCCTTGTTCGGCTCTATTGCTTGATTTTTTCCGCGGAAATGTGGCGCCAAAGTAAAAACGAGTCAGTGAATTGAAGTTGGTTTTCTCGAACTCATCAAAAGGGTTATTCTCTGAAGTGAGGCCAGAATATCCATCCCATTGTGAGAATACTGACACTTGGTTGGTGAATAGTTGCTTTCGCTACGTCATTCAATAGAGTTAGCTTCCATCATATCTAATCTTGCTTTTTTGAACACTTTAGTATTTGGAAAAACAATTTAAAAGACGAGGAGCAAGTCTAAGATGTGAGTTTCAAAATGAGAGTTTCAAAAAAAGAGTGATGAGACTTTAAAAAAAGCTTGTCGACTTTTTTAAGACATTTTTTTGGCGCGCGCTCCAAAATAATCTGTATCGTCGCCAATGCCGTCTTTAAAAAAATTTGAGGATCGATAAGCAAAAATTGACGGTGGTAAGGTAATACCAAAAAAGAAACTCCAAAATCTACATATTTGAATATAGAATTTTGATATGCTTTTTGTTTGCATTGAGGATATTAAATTGTTGCCACGTCGAAAAATTTTGTCAACTTTTTCAAAAAATTGTGCAAATCAAGTGGCTTAAAATTTTTTTGAGCATATTGAGTTATATCCTTTTGGTTATAACTCATAGAGTCATTTCAGATAAGGTACACCGTCTGCTCGTCACGCTATCTTATTTTCAGCCGGATAGATTCGTGAAACTTCTTAGTCTAATATCAATCTTAATCTTACTCTTATATCTCCTAGTCTCAATAGATCTAGTGTACACCGGTTTATGCGAGTTAGTTCCAGAATGAGAACAACTGTATTCTGAGTTTAATTCAAATTGCTCTGGTGTTGAAACTACAAGTATTTTCAACACTTACAAATAAGTGGGTTGTTAGTTTGATGGAGTATGATTGGTTAGTATTTAATATTTTAGAGAGATAAAATATCATAATAATAAACAATGATAAATACCAGTTTAGATCTGGTTCCACCAATCCGAGGTTTAGAGAGTTTTAGTTTTCAATGTTGTATTGTAGTAAAAGGATGGAAGATGGTGTTTTCCTTTAGAGGTTGCGAGCATATTCTTTTTTCTGGTTTGGAAGAAGAAATGTTATCACGATAGTGTCGGGAGATCGTTTATGATTTCTGATCGGTTGTGATGAGTGTTGATCTGGTTGATTTTAGAGAATAGGAAGGGTCTAATCACATTCGAGAGTGTCGTGTAGTTCGACTTTGGATGCAGTGCCTAGTGATTGGATCTGCACGGATTCCTTTGCTGCGATGCCAAGTCGTAGTTAAAATCCGTTGAGTGTAGTGACTGTAGGCAGCATATCGGGTGTATTTTGCCATTCCGTAGTTGGAGTGTGATTGGGTTGTCAAGTTCCTTGCTGCTCGTCTTTGGGCTATATGTAATCTATATACTGCATTGTATTATTTACATATACAAATCTTTGTTATATTTGTTTTTAGTTTTGATCTTGTATTAAATTTTATCGCAAAAGCGTTCTTGTTTAGTTCGGTTATTTTTCAGAGAATAATTTATCCAGTTCTAAGCTTCTTTTAATCCAGTTTGGGTACCGTGCGTTTTTTTTTCTGTGTCATGCTGTTAGGTTGTGGTTTGCGGTGTTTAGTAAGCTTGCGGTGGTTAGTTTGTATTATTATATAATTCCTTTCCAACCTGAAATGTGTTAAAACTGGTTAGAGTTGTTATCAGTGAAAGTTAAAAAATAAATTCATCATTTTAAACAATTCTTCGTGGGCGAGCTGTGCGATTGTGGATAGGATTGTGGGCGAGTGAATATTTAAAACTACAAAGAATTGTCTTTGAAAAGGTAAGTACTGCTTTAATTTTGTAGGCAACTTTTATTTATTTACTACTTTGAAATTATTAACTTTACGGCTTTATTTGGGGGGTTGAAATTATCAAATTATTTTCATTTTAAGAATATTTACTGCATATGGGAAAAGAGTTCATATATCAATTTATTGCTGTTTTGGGAGTAAGTTTCACTGCTTCATTTATTGTAATTGGTTAATCTGAATTTATGGTTCTAGAAAAAAGTTTTCTGTTTTTTGTTTCGCTTTTCTTTTTTGTAGATGATTGATGATCGTGCCTGTGAAGACTAAAGAAAAAGAGAAAACATTTATTAAGAATGGTTAGTTTTGTTTCGAATTTATTAGAATAATTTATTTAATTTGTACTTACCTTTTTCGTCGGGGAAGAATCCATGGGGAGAAACGTCGTGGATTATTTCTGATGAAGTTACTAGTTTAGCTAGTAAGCGAATGATGTATTAGTTTGGAGAAATGGCCCAAGCAATTCGAGTGTGGTCAGGTTATTTATTGGTTTTTTGGCAAGTAGGTTGGGCTTAAGGAAATTTTGGTGAGAGAAGTTTGGAGGGCTATTAAGGGACTTTCTAGTTTTGTTTTTATTTATTGGATGATCGGGGGTATTTGAGAGTTATTTGTACTTTAGGCTAAATGATCATGTCGATTTTGTTCTTTAGGCTTATTTAATATTTTAGCTTGAGGTTATTCCGAGGTCGAAGCCTGGACAATATTGTTGATTTTTGTTCTAGTTGATAGGCGAGGGTCGTAATATTGAGGTTTTGTTTATTTCAGTTGTCAAATATGAGCGGGTGGCTTATTTTTGACCTGGCGGTCTTAAAGGTATAGGTAGAGATACGCTTGAAGGTGATTGTTTGTCGGCTAAAAAAGTCAGGTCAAAAATACGGTGATGATTCGGAAAAGTTCTTATTGGCTGAAAGTGAACTAGTTTGTTCAAGTGCTTTCCAGCATGAATTTTGAGAAAATGTTCGGTCCATGAAATTATCTTCAAGAGATGAAAATGTTAACTAATTTCAAGTGGTTTTTAAAATTCAACTTTCTTTAAAATTTTAGATTGCGTGTTGAATGTTTTATAAACTTTTCGTGGCTGATTAGGAAGTCGCGATGATTGTCTATGTAGAGATTTTTCTATTTGATCTTGTGATATAATTTTTCTTTTAAATTTCGATTTTTTCTTTCTGTTTGAGTGATTTTTTTGTTGTCTAAGTTTTTTGATGTTTGTTTGGGAAGTTCTTTGTCCTTTTTTTCTAATTGTTTTTGGATGGATTTATTAAAAAAAAGTGTCACAACTAGGACACCGGAAACACTTGAAGAAAGAACCAATATCATTTGTATGAATGATATGATTGTTAAATCTCAGCTCAGTAGCTTTACTGTTTTATCGAATCTTCCGATACTTCGTCTTCGTACTCAAATTTGTTACTTGAAAAGTTTCCACACATTCGTTCAGCTGATCAAAGATCTTTTTCATTCTTTCATTCACAGCTACTTCAATATCTTGAATTTTTTTTCTCCTTTCTAGCTTACTTTGTTCAGCCAACAGCTCGAAGTTGGATGCAAAATCAATTATCAAGTTCTGTGGATCCTTGTTGTACAAAAAGATGGGTTCATCAACCAGATTCGATAATATAGAGACTGAAATAGGGACATGTTTTCCAATTCAGGTAGTAGTTTGCGTCTCTTTTAGTTCCTCTGTAGGAACACAAATCGACTCTAAGTCGAAATCTGCTAGATTAATGAAAAGCTTGTTGCCTTCAGAAACTGGAAGACTGAATCCTTCTAGCTTTTCAAACAAGGTTTCGCGAAGCTCATAGACGTTCTTTGGGTAAATATGTTTCACTCGGTCCTTGCATCTCAGAAGATGTTTGTTAAAATTGTCGGATTTATTAAAAAAAAGTGTCACAACTAGGACACCGGAAACACTTGAAGAAAGAATCAATATCCTTTGTATGAAAGATATGATTGTTAAATCTCAGTAGCTTAACTGTTTTTTCGATACTTCGTCGAGCTAGTTCTCCTACATATTCTTCTTCTTGGATATCGAAATCGTATATAAAAATGTTTCTTTGCACAATTTTCTCGACAACAGGTAAGTCTTCTACAGAAACTCCACGAAAACTTTTAGGATCATAACCAGATTTTGATATAAAATCTGTAAATTATCTAGAAGTGTGAGAGTCGAGATTATTATGTCCGTTCATGTACATGGCCAATGCGCGGAAAAGACACAACTGATCTTTGTAAGTTTCCTTGTTTTTGTTAGATAAAAGACAATTCACTTGCGTATGTCGTGATAAAGGTTCGGGTAAGACAGAGTCCGGACATCCCATGGGAATGTTTTTCAGCAAAGCAGCAAAAATTGTGACGTTAGTAATTAACTTGAATCTCCATTTTGTGTTTTGGCGTTATTGGGTACATTGCTCCACAATATCAAATTTTTCTACTTTTCCTTGGATTGTTATCAAATCCGCTTTCGTACAAAGTAAGTGGGATTTTTCACACAGAGTATTGTTTTCATGGGCGTAGAACTATCGAGATTCACCAGTCTCAATATTTCGAAGAACAAAACCCAGAGCAATGTTGATTTTGGCTGCAGAATCGAGCTTGTTGAAGACTTCTTTAAGTTTCTCGTTGATTATTTTAGTGTCTAATTTGGACATTTGGAAGTTAAATTCCTTATGTCTCCCATTTTCTATCTTTGTATCCACCAGAAAATGTTGACAAGCACTAAGTTCCTCCGTTAGTTTTTCACCATCTTCCTCTTCTTCCTCCACAATCTTGTTCAAGTCGGCCACCGTATCACTGGGTTTCCGTTGTTTTGCTCCATGTTCT